GAAAGTCATAACCACAATGAAATACCACTTCACACCAGTGAGAAGGTGGAGAAAAAGGAACCCTCTTACACTGCTGGTAGGATTACAAGCTGGTTCAACCACTATGAAAAGCTGTATGGAGGACTACTAAAAATGGAGCTACGATGATTTAGCAATTCCATTCCTAAGAATCTAACCAAAGTTGACAAAATCATAAATTCAAAAGGATATCTGCACTCCTGTTTATTGTAGCACTATTTACAATTGCTAAGATATGGAAGCCTAAATGTCCAACCTAAATGACATAGATGACTAGGACTGCATTCGCACCAAACTATGTGTTAATCTATACACAATGGAACATATTTAGAAATCAAAATATATAAATTCATGCTATTTTATGCAACATGGATAAAAACAGATGGGATTTTGTTTTGTGAAATAAATTAAAGAGAAAATTTTCAGATGGTTTCACTAATAGGAAGAACATAGGGAAACCAAAGAAGAGATCAGAAAAAAAGAAAAAGAAATTAGCAAGCAAACTATAAATCAGAGACTCAACTAGAGAAGGGAAGTGAAAGGGATCTAAACATGAATGTGGGAAGTACAAGAGACCATGGTGGTAAATTTATGGGGATTAAACCTGAGGGGAAAATGAACACATGTGAAAAATAAATAAGAAAAAAAAAATAGTGGTACCATCTTGACCCATGAAAATGGCCCATTTTAAAAAGAATAGGAACAACAGGTAGGTGGGAGTGAAAAACCCTGTGCAAACTGTAAGGATATGTCCTGAAAAAAAAAATTAAAATTCCTAGTGGTCCAACCATACTTCTATTAGGTATCTGACCAAATAACATGAAAACTCTTACATGAAAAGATTTGTCTACGGCTGTCTACATAAAATAATCTCCAACTGCTAAGTCATGGAACCAATTAAATACCCTTCAACAAAGGAAGAATAAAGTAATTGTGGAATGTATACTCAATGGATGAAATAGTGACATTTGGAACAAAATGAACTGTGAGGCAATCATGTTATAATAAGTGATATAAATCAAAGAGCAAAAGACAGATACTGAATAGCTTCATTCATCTGTGACATCTAAGTAAAAAAAAAAAAGCACACACAAGAAAAATATAGTAGAAATAAATCTTGAACACAGTGAAAAAATAGGTTATCAGAGGGATCAGACAGAGGGAGGAGTGATGGGGAGGGAAGCAAATAGGGTACTTATATGGGCAGTTTGATTGCAAGGTGAGTAGAACATGGACTAGCAAAAACTGTAACCACACAAAAATTTAAAAAAATATGTAAGTCAAACATTACCAAAAAATCAAGACCAAAATTACAAAAGTAATTTTCATTTATATACAATAATAACTAATCTGAAAAAGTAAACTTATTTACAAAGGTATCAGAAACAATGAAATACAAATAAATTCAATCAAGGAGGTAAAAGATCTGTTCATTGAAAACTGATGAAAGAAAATGAGGAAAACACAAATACATGGTTTAAAGAATAATGGATTTAAAGAATCAGCATTTTTTTAAAGATTTATTTATTTAATTTATTTATGCATATAGAACTGGGGTACAGGCCAGAGGTACAGGGGTGGTGAGAGGATTCAACAGAAACAGAGTGGGGAGCAGAACAGGTAGATCAACAAAGTACACTGCTAAGGGGAGGAGCGGGCACGTCAGTAGAGGTCTGCCGCGCCATATGGATCACCTCCAGGGCTGGGGATCAAACTCACACTGTAGTGGCTGTAGCTAGCTTGCAAAGCTGTGTCCTAACCCGTTGCACCATCAGGGAGAGCAGAGATGAATCAACATTGTTAAAATTGCATTACAACCCAAGGCAATTTATGCATTCAAATTCCTTATTAAAATTTCTATGGAATTTTTGAAATGAAAAAATAATCAAAAAGTTTGCATAGAACCACAAAAGATCCTTTTACAGCCAACACACTAAGTCACACCCTTAAAATGGCAATCATCAAACAAACAGAAAATATGTGTTAATGAAGATATAGAGAAAATCAAGCCTTTGTATACTCTCAGTGGGAATGTGAATTGCCATAGCAACTATGGAAAGCAAAATGGACATTCCTCAAAAATTTAAAAACAGAGTATCATGTGACCCAGCAATCCACTTATATCTGAAGAAAATAAAGTCATTATCTTGTAGAACTATCTGGAATTACATGTTCCCAGAGCTTTATTTAACATAATTTTTGTTATTATTATAATAGTTTATTTTTACATGATTTTGTGCCCTTTTCCATTTCAGTTGTAATCCCCATGGACTTCCCATCACCAACTCACCCATCCCAGGAGCTTTATTTATAATAGCTAAGTCATGAACAACCTACCTACCAAATGGTTGATGAATGGATAAAGATAATGTTATGTGTTCATAAAATGGATTATTTATTCAGGCATAGGAAATCTGGTTATTTGCAACTATATGAATGAAACATTAGAGGATTCTTTTCAGTAAAATAAGAGAAACAAACACTATATAATTTCACTGAGTAAAATCTACAAAAACTGAACTCATAAAAATGGAGAATATATAGGTGGTTACTAGTGGTGAGTAGTCTGGCAGGAGGGAAAACAGGTGAGGTGGATAAGGGAAGGAAATTCCAGTTATAAGATGAATAATTTCAGGAATGTAATGTAGAACATGCTGAGTGAATTAAATACCATATGGTGTATTTGCAGTTGATAAAGAGTATATTTTAAATGTTCTCACCATGAAAACATTAGAGTTCTGAGATGATTGCTATGTTAACTAATCTTAATGTGATAATTATTTCACAATCCATTACATATATTAAATCTGTATGATGCACAAATTAAGATTATATAACTTTATGTTAATCATATTTCAATAAAACTGGAAAATCAATTGGGCAAAAACTTGAATTTTTCTCCAGAAAAGATACAGAGGAAGGCCTCCCTGATGGTGCAAAGGATTAAAGCTCAGCACTATCAAGCTATCTACAGCCTTTATGCATACATTCAATCCCCATCAAGGGAAGGGACCCTTACAGCACAGCAGCCCTCTCCTGTTTCCCCACTGTTCCCCTCAGCAATGTACTTCAGTAGATCTGCCTGTTCTGCTCCCCACTCTTTCTGGTGAATCCTCTCATCTGCCCCCCCACACCTCCAGCCTGTACCCAGTTCTTGTATGCAAAAATAAATAAATCTTTAAAAAAAAAAGTAAAAGATCAAGTAATATAATTTGAGATATAATGGGAAAATAGTCCTATTGCCACTGTGACTAATTAAACACATTTGATGGTTATTCTTAAGTTTTAATTCATAAACAGGTGTTTTCTACATCTTAAATCCTTAAATATAAAGTTCAATTCTTTTGTTTTACAGAAAATGTTGGGGCTCCATTATTTTTAGGAAAATCACCCTAAGTTGTTACAATAATCCCTATGGTTTAAAATACTAAATAATATTCCAATCATATGCTTTCACAAATTAAATATTTACAGCTAAATATTATGATTCACATTATACTAAATTCCATTCTGTATTAAATTATCATAACAATGCTTAACTTATTTAAAAGAACATACTTTTTATTAATTTCACGAATCAGTATAATTTTATTTGGGAACTATTTGAGCTAAGTCAAAAGAGAAAATATGAAACATATTCTCATTGGTAATATTTACATTCCAAAATACTGTTGGCAAGGAATATATCTTTAAAATAAGCTTTGTGCTCTCAGTTTTTCTTTTAAGAACTGTATATATACTTACCTGAGAATGTAAAGAACAATTCATTTTGTAAACCAGCCCTTTGCATTTTAACACGATGACATTCAGACTTAAGTAAGGAAACTTCACATGAAAGATCAAGAACCAGTTTGCTTAAAATCTGAAGAAGTTTCTTCTCAAAAGAAATATTATAGATACTATTGCAGGGAGCTGCATGATACCGAGCTGTGAACTGGTAATAATAATGAGGCTCACGATAAGCTGTAAAATAATTAAACAGAATAACACAAAAAATGGTCATTAGCAATTCAAATATGTAACAACTATTCAAAAGGAACTACTATTTGGAATAAATTGATGTATACTTTTAGAGAGATTATATATATGGATATACATAATGTAATAAATACATTTCTAGCAGTTACTAAGTAGCAAGACACTTTACAATAATTCATTTCAATCTCTTGAATCATTTAAGACTGGCTTTACTTTTAATCATAAGGAAATTGATTTCTTGTATTCTCAGTTCAACCCTATGCCATATGGTCAATGTACATACTACCAAATCTAGGATTCTAACCCAGAGCCTAGACTAAATAGTATACCTTAAACTCAAGAATGAAAACATCTCTAAGTTTAAATATTCATCTTGGAAGAACTTAAGAGTCATATACTTATCAATGATAATCCAAAAAAATCATATTTCTAAAAAAATCCAAAGTTAAATTTCTACTATCACAATGTCTGGAATTGAAAATATTTTTTATTAATTTTGAAGTATCACTAGAATAAAATTATAAAAATGATGAGAATCTAGAAAAGTATCAAAAAAGGCAGAAAGGTTTATATACCAAGACAAGTTAATCAATCTGCACTTCCTTCCTATTCCTAGTTTACAGATGTAGAAATGTTCCCCACTAAAGTGATACTTGCTATTTATCACTTTCCTTACCTAAGTCGAAATCAAAATTAAATATGTGTGTTTGTGTGTCTATCTACACAATCTACTTCTAGTCTTTCTGTTCAAGGGAGAGACTAGACATCTTTCACTGATTACAAACTATCACTTCTTTTCACAAACATGAATAAAAAGCATTAACTCATTCACTCCAACACTGGAAAATCTAACAGCATTAAAGTAAGAAGATGAGAATGAAAAGGGGAAAGGGACTAAAAGTAAATGAATACGCGAAACATTAAATAAGCTGTTTTATTAACAAGAGAGAAGATGTAACCATAAAAACTATTATAAACTGTTGTAGAAGAGATAAATATGAACTGTATGCATAAAAGAGCTGGGGTATACACCAGAGATGTAGAAGATGGGAAGAGTCATCAAAGACAAAGCAGGGAGAAGAGCAGGAGGACTGACTGAAATACACTGCTGAAAGGAGAAGCAGGAGAGATGAGAGGTCTGCTGTGCCATGTGGGTCAGCTCCCTGGCCTAGAATTGAACTCATCTGTTGGGACTGTGGATTGCTTCGTAGTGCTGAGACTTAAACCTTTGTGCTACTAAGGAGGCCACTGTTCTTTTAAAAAAATTAAACCCAATATAAACGTTGAAATGTATAATACATTGAGTAAAAAACTGGTTAAAATCTATTTATATATTTAGAGATCAAGTATAGAAGTCTCACAAGGCACGACACAAAATCAAAAACAAAACAATAAGACACAAGATGGTGAAATTACCAAGAATTCAAGACAAAGAATAACAATAAAGAAGAGATAAAAGCAGATAACATATAAAAGGAAACCCATATGATAGACATCATACATCTTTGCAAAAACTCCATGGGCAAAGAGAGAATCGGATGATATATCCAAAGTCTTCAACAAGATAAACTGCCAGCCAAAAACAGTATGTCCTGCAAGATTCTCATCATAGATGAAGAAAAAATAAAAAAAAATACATAAAAAAATAATGAAATAGTTCTCTTAACTAAATCAAAGAGAGGGAATTTTACCAAAAGATTGAACAAGGGATGTAAACATACCAAAAAACAAATAAACAAATGAAAAAGGTAACAGCAACATCTCATCTATTAAAAATCACTTTCATTGTAAATGGAAATTAAGTCACCAATTATAAGTGATATAGTAGCTGAATCAAAAAATAAATACACACCAAATAAAGGAGTGTCAAAATACACAAGTCAGTCTTTATCAGATCTGAAACCAAACAGTGTTAGCAACACAATAATCACTGAAAAATTCAGCACCCCACTTTTACCAGTAGTCAGATCAATCAAACAGAAAATAATAAAGAAAATGATAGCCATAAATGAGGAATTTTAATAGACATAAGGGCTTAAAGGGCACAAACCTCAAAAAAACCAAATGCACACTGTCCTTAAATGCACAAGAACATTCTCCCTGATAGACCATGTATTTGGTCACAAAACAAGTATCAGTAAATTCATGAAAACTTAAATTATGCTGATTATTTTCCCTGATCACAATGCTAACAAACGAGAAATCAACTACAAAAGGCAGGAAAAACCTCTTTGATATAGGGATTGAAAAAGACACTGCTGAATGAGTACTGGATGTCTGATGAAATCAAATAATAAATTAAAATATGTAGCTATGCATGAAAGTGAAGACACAACCTATCGGAATCTATGGGACATAAAAAATAGATACTACAAGGAAATTACATAGCATTTGAGGTCCACATTAAGAAACAAGAAAAGTTCAAATTAACAATCTTACTTCTTTTCTCAAGATAAATAACAAATGAAATCAAAAGCCAGTAGAAGGAAGCAAGTAATAACAATTACACAGAAATAAATGAAATTGTAATCAAAAGGACTGTTCAAAGAATCAATGAAACCAAAAGCTGGATCTTTAACAAAATAAAACATATGACTAGACTCACTAAAAGAGAAAAAAAAATCTAATATAGAGAAATGAAACAAAAGAGAAGTTACAGCAGGTATCTCTCAGGAATGTAGATTATCATTAAGAAATTATAACTAATACCTATATACCAACAAATGTAATAGCCCAGATCAAATTAAAAAAATTCTTAGTAATCTTGGACTGAACAGAAAAGAAATGGAAAATCTGAGCATATCAATCACAGCAAGTATATTGAAAGAGTAATCAAAAATCTCCAAAAGATCCAAAGTACATACAGAGATGTTTTCACTAGTAAATTCAACAAATTCTTCAAAAATAAATATTAGTAACTATCCCACTTACTCTTATAAAAAAAAATAGAGAATGAAGAAAGCTTTCCAAACATGTTTTATGAGACAAACATCATGTTTGTGACAGAGGGGTGGATCAGAAAAATGTGCTACACACACATACACACACACAGGAGACTACTACTCAGCTGTAAAAAAGGATGAATTCCTGCCATTTGTGACAACATAGCTGAAACTGGAGAGATTAATGCTAAGGAAATAAGTCAGAAAGAGAAAGACAAATACCAAGTGGTATGACTTTCACGAAGAATATAAAGAAATATTAAGGTTAGTCAAAACCAAACACCAATAATTACAATATCTGATTTTAAAAAGGAAAAGGAAAGGGGCAGTGTGAGCTGGGTAAGGGAGGAGCACAATCATACATGATGGAGGCTTATTCTAGCAGTGGTGGTGAATATTGTGTGAAGAGAAAACATTTGTGAATGTTTCCCTGTAACACCCAAAGATGCTCTGCAACTTTACTTCAATAAAAAAATACATCCCTATATGGCTCTGATGTTCACTATGGGTTTTATATTACTTTTGTCTTGTAATGAAAAAATAATTACTTAATTATGACTCTTAAGATTAAAGATACACATAACAGAAATATCTCAAATTAATAATTCAATGTTTACCACTGAGTATACTGGAAAAAAAAAAGAGGGGGGACTGACTTGAAGCAAGGTAAAGGAGGGAAATTAGAGTAGAGATAATACATAGCAAATTTACAAACAATGGAAAGACTCAATGAAACAAAAACCTAGTTTTTGAGAAATTGCCAAATTGATAAAACTCTCATTAGAGTAACAAAGAAAATAAAGTCCAAATTAACAAAAGCAGAAATGAGAGGAGTATTAACCCAAGCTTTCATAGATAAAAATTAAAAGAAACTATGAACTGTATGCCAATAAATTAGTTTATTAGATACAAAAATTCCCAAGAAGACACAAACTACTGAACTGACTTAAGAAAATAGTTTATATGAGTAGAGTTCTAAGAAGAAATTAAATTCATAATAAAAGCTATCCATGAAAAGTCCAAGCCATATACCTACTTAGGAGTTCTATCTCATGTTTAAAGAAAGGATAATTCTTAATGAAATCTTCCAAATTTAGAGGAAGAAAAACTTTACAACTTACACTATGCGGCCAGGATCACTATGAAACCAAAAGCAGACAAAAACATATCACAAGAAAAGTAAATTAGAGACTGGTAAATTTTAAGAATAAAGGTATAAGATTTGCAAAAAATAGCAACAACTGAATACAGTAGAATATTGAATTATATATCATGACGAAGTGGCATTTATCCCAGAGATGCAAGGCTGGCTTAGCATTTGTAAACCAATTAATACAACATAGCATCCAATAAACTACAAAATAAAAGTCATCATTAATGAAGGAAAAAGTACTTGGCAAGATCCAACATATCCTTTTACCATAAAAAAAAAAAACAAGAGACAGAATAGAAACATTCTTCCTCGAACTAATAAAGGGAGCCTTAAAAAATAACCACAGAACAACTATTATCAATACTGAAAGACATTTAACATTGTTTTCACCTCACATGAGATTAAAGCAAGGATGCCTATTCTCACCATTCTTACTCAACACAGTACAGGAAGTCCTAGTCTCAACAATAAGACAATAAAGATGAGCAGCACATCAACTGAAAAGGAAGAATATACATATGCAAAAAAAATGAAACGTCATACTTACATAAAAATTAATTGCAAGTGAATCACATCAAAAGTAAAGCCACAGGCCCTCCCTGGTAGCGCAGCGGGTTAAAGCACTGCACTGAGAAGCTAAAGCCACTTCCGCATGAGTTCGATCCCGCCTGCCCCGGAGGTGACCACATGGCGTGGCAGACCTCTCCTGACCCGCCCGCTGCTCCCCTCAGCAGTGTACTTCGTAGATCTGCCTGTTCTGCTCCCCGCTCTGTCTCTGGTGAAGTCTCTCACCGCCCCTGAGCCTCTGGCCTGTACCCCAGTTCTGTATGTACAAATAAATAAATCTTTAAAAAAAAAAAATGTAAAGCCACAAATCTTTAAAGATTGGGACAAATATTTGAAAATAATATAACAAATCTTATCTGGAAATAAATTTCTAAAGAAACTCAGAAAACTCAACAAATATATAAACAAATCCACTCCACTCGACAAATGGGCAAATGATAAATATTTCAAAGAGGAAACAGCACATGTGTTTATATAAATAATGGTTTAACATCATTAAATATTAAATAAATGCAAATGAAGACCAAAGTGACAATCACTTCATATCTATCAAAAGGATAAAATAAAAGGCAATAACAACACCAACAACTGATGGGGAATTAAAGGTACTCCAATACTCTTAATTGCTTATGGAATGTAAATGTCACAGTCATTTTGGAAATCACTGTAGCAGTTACTTATAAAACTTGGAGCTACCACATGGTCCTGTATTTGGGCATTTTTCCAATTTTAACTTAAAAAAAGAAAAACTTTTCTCTACAGAAAAAAATATACATTGTGCATAGGAACTTCAAAGATAATAGGCCAAACAGGAAGCATCCCAGATGTCCCCGTAAGGATAACTAAATAAACAAACTGCAGTGTATCTATACTATGGAATACAATTCAGTAAAAACAGGGAATGAGTGACAGATGAACTAAAAATTTATATGTCTAGGGAAACAGGACAAATGAAAAAGTCCAAACCCATTAAAATATATACTGTTTCACTGTATTTACATGGGACTCTGGAAATAATGGAATTGTATAGTACTGGAAAGACTGGTGATTGTCAGGTATGAGTGAGGTGAGGGTTAGAGCAAAATGCTTTGATTATAAAAAGGTAGCCCAAGATATATTTCAAATGATGTAATTGTTCTGTATCTTTACTGTAATGGTGGATGAAAACACACTGACAACCCTACACATGTTATAAAACTTAGAAAAGCAAACATATATACACCCAAGTAAAAATAAAATCAGAGTTAAACTGATATGGTAACTAACTGAAGAGGTGGGATCCCATATTTCTGAATCATAATCAGTGTTGTGAGATTACACTATTAAAAAAAAAAACTATTTAAACAATCAAGAAAAAAAACTAGAATGAAATAAGGTTGGTGAATTATAACAAAATTAATGTATTGGCCTGATAAAATATAAAATGTCACTATCAGGATGTGAGATCTCTATTATTGCTTGCAATTACATATGAATCTATAATTACTCAAAACGAAATTTATGATTAGGAAAATAAGTCTAGCAAAGTAAATACAGGAAACTTTATTTTCTAAGTATACACAGCAAACTTCTAGGGGTAAAAGAAATTACTAGAGAAAAAAACTGACTAATCTCATTACAACAATATTGGAAATTTCAATAGCATAAACATTATCAAAACTAAAGCCAAATGAGAAAAAAAGTGTAAAAGTTATTTGTAACTTGAAAAAAGATGAAATGGTAAACAAAGTAGTAGACACATAAATTACTTTAAAAAAGGCAACCCATCCAAGAGGAAAAACGGCATTAGGTGAGGACATAACTAGTCATGGCATCTGGTGTTTATTGACAGAGAGTACCACAATGACCTTTTTAGTTATGTAAGATTTTCACTACTCAGAGCACAGCAATTATGTAGCTAAATAAAATGTAAAAAGCTAATCAAATTTATGAATAATGAAAAATACAACACTGCCTATATCTTAAATTCAAATATTCATAAATACTAGCAATCACATCATTATTATAAATCAGCATTCATAACAGGTAATTTTATATTTATCAGCTTATAGGACTACCCTTATGAGAGATTTCAAAGCGTTATTTGCTTTAAACTTTACATATGAAAATAGCTAAATGGAGAAAACTGCAATGTAACAAAATTATGGATTAAAAGGTTTAAACAAATAGCCTAAGAAAGTTAATGTAATATCTCATAAGTAATTATGTTTCTTGGATATATGTGATAGCTATTTTTGAGTGACAAAAACGATGAGGAAATCACTAATAATTCTGCCATTTGTTCTGCATCCAAATATGAAGACAATGGATATTTTTTTCCCTATTACTATTTTTAACATTAGGAAAATTTACCACAAAATTAGTGCCTTAAAATAACAAACTTATTAACTTACAGCTTTGGGAGTTTTAAGTCTAAAATGAATCTATACAAGGCTAGAATCAGGTGCTTTGCTTCTCAAAGCTCCAGAAGAAAAATCAACTTTTCTGCACTTTTTAACTTCCAAAGGTCTCCTTCATTTCATCGCTGTTTCCTCCATTTTTCAAAGAAAATCACTCCAACCTCTCCTTTCATCATCATAACTTTTGTTACTGCCTTTGACTCTATAGTGTCCTTCTTACAATAACACTTGTGAATACAGTGGGCTATAGTGCAGGCAGGCAACAGGGCAGAATGGGCAAGAGAGAGTCCTGAAGAACTCAGCGGCTTTTTCAGGCTTTTTAATGATCTTTCTACAACAATTGTGGTGAGGCAACCAGGTGCAGGGCAGTCAGGGAGGTCAGGGACCAGAAAGCTGGCAATCCTCCCAGCCCCCAGAGAATCCCTATTCTTTGAGCTCTCTCTGACATTCTCTTTGGTCTCTCCACCTCTTTTCACTGTATTCCACTGCATGGTCCTCTGCCACCCATACATGCTCTGTCTCTCAACTCAAGTATGCCTACTTACGCATGCCCACCACACTCCAGGTGCCCATGATTAGGCACACGTACTCCAAGCTCACGCTCCAAAGCGGACCTGCACCCAAGGCCACACAGGTGGTAGCCACAGAGGCCAACAGGGCAAACTCCTGAGTGTCACTTACCCTACATAGGTTTACCCAGTTAATTAGGTAATCTCTCATACCAAAATCTGTAAATTATAAATCCCCTTTGAGATGGTAGGGTAACATTTACACATGTTGTGAGTTTAGAAACAGACATCTTTGAGGGCAAATAGTCAATCCTCTACATGTGGACTCCAGCAATGAGAAGGAACTTAACAAGCTGCCTTATTTTATACTGTTTTGCTGGTTATTCCTTATCAACTCAGTTCTCCCTAGTCTCACACCTCAAAAGATGAAATTGCTTTTAGAAAGGATTTGACAACAGTGATACTTCAATTTCCAATTTGGGAGGATGAGAGTATATCATTAAGCATAATACTAAGAATTTAAAAGCAGTACAGACCACTACAATCTCATCATAATGACTTAAAAACATTTTCCCCATTTTCATTTACTGACTTAAATTTTCTATGTTCATGTCAACATTCTCTTGCAGGAAAAACAAAACAGAACACTAACCACTTATAAAGTACTTGGTGAAATATAGGCAGTAACTATAATACAATAAAAATAAGTAGGTCTTCCCTGGTGACACAGTGGGTTAAAGAGCAGCTATCTTTTATGAAGCTATCTGCAGCACAAGTTCAATTCGCTGCCAGGAAGGTGACCCACAAAGCACAGCAGACCTCTCCCATCTGCCCTCTCTTCTCTTCAGCAGTGTATTTCAGTCTGCCTATTCTGTTCCCCATTCTGTCTCTGATGAATTCTCTCACACCGCCACAACTCTGACCTGTACCCCAGTTCTTGTGTGCATAAATAAATAAATCTTTAAAAAAAAATACACTATAATAGGGCCCTCCCTATTGGCTCAGCAGGTTAAAAGCACAGCATTAACAAGCTAAAGCCATTTCCGCAAGAGTTCAATTCCGCCTGCCCCGGAGGTGATCCACATGGCTAGGCAGACCTCTCCTGACCAGCGCGCTGCTCCCCTCAGCAGTGTACTTCCTTGATCTGCCTGTTCTGCTCCCACTCTATCTCTGGTGAATTCTCTCGCTGCCCCTGAACTCCTGCCTGTACCCCAGTTACAAATAAATAAATCTTTAAAAAAAAAAAACTAAAATAAAGTAACAAAATATCCTTAAATCAAACCTTAATATATAAATAAAAAATTAAATATATGAACAGATTAACATTTTAATATAATTAAATGCTGTTCTTACCATACACAATATATTTTAGTTGAAGATTTTTAACCACTTCTTCCACAGTAGGTTTATACTCAAGGAAACATGTGTAAACTCCACTCATACTCTCCTCAAAATTCTGGAATACAAGACTCCCTGTGGATGTTATTTTTGAAGTGTTGTTTTCTAATAAAGGAATAAAATACAGCAACTAGTTGATTATATGAAAATGATATAAAATAAAAATATTTTAACAAAGCAAACCTTAAAAATTAACTATAGAATCACTGAAGAAGGTGAGGGCCTAACTAGACTTGGCATCTGGTGTTGGTTCACAGAGGGTGCCAGAGGGTGCCATACCTACACGGTATGTCAGATTTTCACTATTCAAAACTCATCAAATGTGTAGCTAGGTAGTAATTGACTAACAATTACAAGTATTTATCTACTCCTTTCATTGAACTGGACACTACATACACACACACACACACACACATACACATATGTACACACACATATATAGGCATATAGACAAATGTATAACTAATCATATACTCCTATATATATGTATTTTATTAAGTTATGACTCTAAACTTACAAACTACATATGATAAAGATGAAAGTATACCCAGAGCACTGCATAATTACAAATAACCAGGGATTTATTTTCTTTGTATATGAATACTAAGCAAAATTTAGGTTAAAAGCTTAAGGATTTCAGAAAAAAGGGGGGGAGGATAGAGAGATTAAATCACCTAACGTCACACAATTATAGTTGTAGTGTTGGGAGTTAGAAGTGTAAGCTCCATTTTTATTTCAACATGCTTCATTATTTAAGTATTACCATAAAAGAATGGGATGTTCAATTGGAAAAAATGTCTGAACTTGAGGTTTGATTTTCTCACAATCTATACTACTCTGGGGTAATCAACTAATCTTTCTCATGTCAAGCCCTTCACCTATATGACAAAGAATCATAAGAGATGACAGTATATCTCACAATAATGTTTTAGGTAATAATACAGAAATAGTTGAAGTACTTGGAAATGTTATACTAACTAACTAATTCAAGTTGTGATCTGAGAGTTTATAATCACAATTTTGACTAGGGAAATTATTATGTATTAAAAATTGCTTATTAAAAATTGAATATGCCATACATTCGAAGAGTATCATTGCTTATCTTTTTCAATTTTAAGTAAATTATTTGTTGCATATAAATTTCAAGTTGAACTATTTCTTCAAAATAAGATAAAGGATTAATGCTCTTATTGATAAAAGTCTCTATTATGAATTTATTCAATAAAAAACTTATTGTTGTTCTAACATATGCAAACCGTATTTCATATAAGGAAGGAGAAAATGATCTATATATCTACCCACATAGAACATTATGCCTTGAATACTCTCATTTCTATATCCTGGATGAAACTGAAAATGTTATATAAACGTAGAATATAATTCTACTGTAATGGCTACTTCTTCAAGAACATCTTCTGAGTAAAGATTATATACTCAGCATAAATGTTGCTCTTCTAACACCGATATTTCATAGTATCATGATAAAAATGTGATCATACAGTATAATGAAGTTTAAAATATGTCATCAATAAATTTATTCATTCCTTGAAAATAACGTGAAATGAAATTTTCCCAGGGTATCAATCTTATCAATATATTTTAATATGAAAACCTGAAAATTAAGAAGCACATAATATATAATAAAACATACTCTGACTCCCTTTTGAAAGAGGCACAGAGAATTTCATAGCCAATAGAAGCATCCAACTAATATTATCACTTAATAAAAAGATTTTAAGTAAGTTTAAGTGAGAGTTTCATGAAGCCAAACTAGATTTCTAGAAATTTATGACTTAGAAGTTCTAAAGTTATATTCCAAAATTTAAACAAATTTTCATTAGAGCTCATTGTGTTAAAAAGTTACCTTCTGGTTTCTGTTCAGACATGAAAACAGAACATCAGGTCATCATTACCACCATTACAACAAGGAAAAAGCAAAGAACTGTATTTGACCAACTTTAGTTAAACCAGAATTAAGGTGTTGAAATTATTTTAATTCAACAAGTTAACTAAAATCTGGAGAACAGGAGACTATGGTAGAATAAGACCCATCCATATGTTATAACAGCTGTGTAATAAGTAAGATTCAGCTAAAAGTTTCCAATTAATTGTGAAAATTCAAAGATTAACCAGTATGAACAGATATACTCATCGAAGATCACAGGTATGTAGAAGGGAGACTGCACCTCCTATGGGATTTGCCTTATAAACACCTATGAACATTCAAAAGGATAATCACAAAAGGAAAATCATGAGAACCCTGGGCAAGAACCCCACATGTGTTGGTAGAGGAGAAGCCCAGTAATTATGTGAAAATCCATTTACACCTAGTATGTCTACCTCCTGGTAAGGACAATACTTTATTCTCTAGGGAGAAGAGAAAGAGATATGACCACCCCAGGTACTATAGAAACATGTTACAACTTAAGGAAGGAAATGGGAATCGGCAAAAAAAATAAAGACTTTCTTGAGGAAACCTCAGCAAGAAGTAATAGATGAGCAAGCTGGAGGAAATGTTTGAACACTTGTGAAGACTGGACTTCTAAGATCCAGGGAAACCATACCGATCAAAGCAGGAGTTTGATGAACATAATACTCCCACATATAAATTACTAGAAAGATTCTCTTAGGAGAAATCAAAAAAAAAAAAAAAAAAGGAGAAACCAACGTTAAGTAATGACTAGACATTGGGAAAGAAAAGGAAAAATTTCTTATGAAACAGCCTACATGTTAACGTGTTTTCAAGGATCCAAAATGTTTTGAGTATCCACAGAAACAACACCAAACTTAAGACACTTCTAACTAAGTCAATACAAGTTGCCAGTATTAAAGACTTAACAGAATTAGAAACAGATATTTCTCTCATAGCATAAAAATACTAATCTCAATTATCTCCTAATTTATTTAACATGTTCAACTTTAACAAAAAATAGAAGTGTGGAATAATGGATTTTTCAGGTTTTTTCCACCATCCCATCATTTGCCTCCATGATCAACACCTGTGGTCATACATGAGCGCCTGATGGCGGCACCTGGAGTGTGGTGTGGGCATGTGTAAGTGGGTACATGAGCCAGAGATGGAGCATTACTGGGGGCTGTGCAGACAAGTGCAATAAATACTAGCAGAGAGGCCATGAGATGATGCCAGAGAGATTCCAAAGTAAAGATCTGCTGCCAGCCAGGAGCCTGCAGAACCCCCTGCTTGCCCTATACCTGGATGCCTCACTACAAATGGTGTGGAAAGATTATTAAAAGCCTGAAAATGCCACTGAGGGTTCCAGGACTCTCTTTTCCCATCTGCATAGATCCACAGAAAACCTGCTCTGTGCCCTGTTGGGGCTACAAGGAGGCATACAGAAAGGCAAAAATAGCACATGCCCCAAACAAAAATTAATGTTCAGGACCAGACTCATATATGACATAAACCTCAGAAGGATCAAAACAGCTAAGTTAAAATAACTATGATTCATATATTAAGTAGATTTAAAAGAAAACACACAACATGTATGATCAGAAATGAATAAATTATGAAACAGAAATACTGAAGAAATAAGCAAACAAAAGCAAAATAAGCAAAAAAAAGAAAGCAGTGACAAAGATGAAGTATTTCTTCAGTGGTCTCATAAAAGGACTGACACAGTCAGATGAAGAATAAACAAAGAAATTGTTCAAAAAAGAAACAAAAACAATACAAAGCAAAATAATAACCAAGAAAAATGAAGATTAAAAAAAATACAAGAGTTGTGGAATGCTATCAAACAGTGACATGAGTGTGATACAAATCACAGAATAGGGAAAACAATATATAGGCAAAAAAAAATTGAAATGACTGAGAATTTTAAGAAATCGATGACAAATACCAAACTACTGATAAATATTCAAGAATCCTAGGGAAACCAAATGAATACAAAGAGGACATATTTATTAAAGTCACTGAAAATAATGAGAAAAGCTATAAGCTCATTGTCGACAAATGAAGGATAAAAATTATAAGCAGATCCATTAGAAATTATGCAAGCATAAAGAATATAGATCAATATCTATATAATGCTGAAAGAAAATAATTGCTAGCCCAAAATTGTACATTTGACAAAGGAAAAAGAGCAAATTTAACCCAAAGCAAAAAAATAAATAAATAAATAAATAAAGATCAAAGCAATAATCAACAAGATTAAAACAAACAAACAAAAATCCAGAGAAAAATAAGGCTGCCCCTTTTAAAAGATAAGTAGGTAAAAATGTCAACCTCTAGCCAAAGAAACCAAGGAAGAAAAGTCACAACCAGTATCAGGAGTGAATGAGAATAGGACATGAACATATTAAAAATGTAAGAAAGTATGCCACATACTGTATTATGAACATAAATTTAACAAGTTGAACAAAAAATCCAAGTTAGCCTCTTTAAAAGATACAAACTACATGACCCTTCCTGGTGGCTCAGTGGGTTGAAGCACATCAGTAAGAAGCTAATGCCACTTCAGCATCAGTTCCAAGCTGGCCTGCCCCGTAACTAAATATAACATTACTATTAAAGTCTTTTGAAATATAACTCAAATCAAAGAATGGGGAAATTATTCACAATATATTTGTTAAAGGACCTGTGTTGAGAATATGTAAAATTTTATACTGGTGGTGCAGTGGGACTAAGAAGCTAAAGCCACTTCAGTGTGAATTTGATACCCCACCCCACTTAGAGGTGATCCACATGGTGTGGCAGACCTCTTCTGACCCGCCCGCTCCTCCCCTCAGCAGTGTACTTCATAAATCTGCCTGTTCTGCTTCCCGCTCTGTCTCTGGTGAATCCTCTCACCACCCTTGCACCTCTGGCCTATACCCCAGTTCTGTGTGAATAAATAAATAAATCTCTAAAAAAAAAAAATACAACATACAAAACAAATCACAAGATGGTGAGAACAATCATTCCTACCTCATTTAAATTTTATGTGAATTCTGAAAGCAGAATTCAAAGGCAGAGGACTTCTGAAAGATATCTTTTTCTCTGAATATCTGTTCTCCCATATGTAAAATAGAGAAAATGACTGCAGTTACCAAAAACTATTGTAAAATTAAAAAAAAAATTGTAAATTGTTTAGAACTACATATAA